TGCACTTCACTCCCACATCGGTCCATGAATGAGTCACTGGTCTGTGATGGAGAAGTCTGATGCCAGCATCATCCCAGCGCACGCTCACCAGTGTGGAACCTCTATTCATTCTCACTGATGTTGCTTTAACTCTGGAATCTCACATTTTATTGTTCATCTGTAAAAGGCAGCCAAAACCAGCCGAAAACAGCCAACAACACAATCCCCTTGGCAGTTGTTTGCTGTCATCAAGGCTCATTCATGATTTCTGTTCGCTGCCTGCTGCGTACACTCATGTAAAAAACATAATCACTCTAATCTCTACCTTCTCGGCTGCTGTGACTAATACTGCATGTTCAACAATAGTTTCTTGTGTGTGTGTATCTGCAATTATTACATGACCTTTTCTCCCACATCTACTTCCTATTGATTATGAAAACAGTCTTGGATGAATAATTCACCAAACAGTAGGAGTTTTGCTCGTGTTGCCATGGGCAGCTCGGCTTAAATACTTGTTTAGTTGGCATGAACATATTTGAAAACATTCATAACCAACCATCTTCATCAAATAGAAATTTCTCAACAAGCGGATGTCTGCCACTAACATTCAAGGCCTTCATGGTGAATTCAAGACATGCAGCAACATGAACCTAATGAATGACAGAGGTGGTTATTCGTAAAGTACTTCCAGCAGGAGGAGGTTCTCTCAGGACATGCCCCTTTTCTCCGACCAAGGAGGAGTGCAGAGGTTTTAGGTCCAACAGGGCCATACAGTCGGACCACTTTATTACTGCTCTATCTCCTCTCGACAGTCACTGTGATCAGACGCAGAGTGGCTGCTCAGAGCACTGCAGGAGGGAGATAGGGGACAGAGGAGGCTGCATGGGTGAAGCAGGAGTGTGCCGGTGCTCCAACAACAAATCTGTGCGGGCCCGATACTCAGACCAAGTTATATTTGTATATTAATGTTGCAGTTTATTGACATTCGAGTTTCCCCGTCTCATTCACTGGTGTTTTGCTCTTCATTCCAACTGTTCTTTTAACTTGTGATACCAACTTTAGATTCAGGTTCAGAAAAGTTTATTGATCCCAAAGGGCATTTAAGACCTTCATCCCCTTCATCCCCACAGCTGTCAGACTGTACAATAAGTCACTTTAAGTCTGACACGTTTCTTTATTCAGCACCTGTTCCTGCCACAAAGAGTGAATTTTTTAACATTCTCCTCCATTGATCCTTGAGCAGGTTTTCATAATACTCTCTAACTTGTTTTTGTCCTTCAGCGTCAGGCTTTGGAACCAAAAGAAAATCTGCAAAGGCTTTCGATAAAATAACTCTAAAAAATATCACCTTTTTTTATTCATGGTACAAATACATCTCTTAATCTTAATCTTAAAACTGATGTGGTCCGTTTTATGTCTTGAAACCTTCTTGATTCATAATCCTGCAACACCATATACACTCACATGGTCCGTATAGTGCAAAAGTGTGGACACCTCATATCATAGAGGTAATACCTTGTGGTCCCCTCTGCTGGGTCCTTATTTCACCCTTTTATCTCCACATGTTGACGCTCGGCTTGGTCAGGGGTCAAGAGCTGGAGGGTTTCATACGTGTCATTCATCTGACCTGTAACCGCAGCAAAACTCGATAGATACGCTTTATGATCGCAAACGTTGGACCATTCCTGACACCTTTATGACCCTTTGAGAGAGAGAGAAAGAAGCGAACAGGAGAGAAGCAAAAAAGCAGATAATCACTTCTGCAAGCTTTACTGATGATGTCGAGCACTTTACAACAATTTAGAATAATGCTCAGTTGAAACAGGAAATGAAAAGCACCAAAAAGATTGGAAATAAATTCTGATGATCGGCCTTTTTTGTGTGTGAATGTGAAAAATCCTTTGTTTTGTCTGTCTGTTTTTTTTCTTTTTGTATTTTTCTGTGTCCCTTTTGTCCTTGCTTTGTGTTTTTTGTTACGCTTATGTTTCTGTTGTTCGTCTGTCTTGATTTACATTGTCCTTAAATTAAAAAAAGAAATGAAAAAGAATAGAAAAGCAGAGAGTCATGAGGTCAAACGCACTTTTTACAATTGCGATTAGCTTTAGTAAACAGGTGAGAGCTGTGGTGTGAGCTCGCATGAATAATTTGTAGAGTCTGATGCATCTGTTCCGTTCACTTTGACCTCGTGCCCCCCCCTGCACCTGCACATAACACCAGCCTGTGTCTCCAGAGTATTTCCGAGCTTTGTCCGCCGGAGAGCGTCTGAGAACAGGGTGACTTTGTGTGAGAAATGACAAATACCAGAGTTCCATTTCTATTTGTGTTTAGTGAGACTAGAAAAAAAAAAATCACAGCACAAAATGCACAAGAAGTCCTGTGATGTTGTTTATTTCAGGAAGGATCGGTAAAAAGAGTCTAAGGTTCTCAAAGCAGCAAAACAGCATGTATACATATTGAGACACTGCAGTTGAATAGGAAAAGTATAGATTTAGATTATTGATATAAATGTAAGAAAAGGAAATGCATCTATTTACAAATGTTGAGGTGACGTGTAAAAATTGAAGAAAACAAATTAAGAAATATTATTAATGATTATGATGGAAACTGTGTCAAAATCAATGTTGTTGCTATTTCCATAAAAAGAAAGAAAAGGGATACAAATGTAGGTTAAATGTGCTGTATATAATGGAGAAAGTATCTTGCAATAGTAGAAAACTATAAATGAACTCTGTTATTGAATAAAGGGATGTGCATCAGGTAAATACAGGAAAGCCCTGTTCTAATATTGCTATATTTCCAGTAAAAAATGTATAAAAGCAGTACTTAAATAGTTGATAAATAACTCTCCCACTTATGTCACAATGTTATTCCTGATCGCAGATGTATGTAAGTCTAAAGAAATGTAATTTCACTTAATACAGTTGTGCTGGAAAGTGTACAAACTGAGCCAGATTTTCTTTTCTCGTAAAATTAGTGATGGTGTGAAGCCATATATTATCAATTAAACTGGTTTTCTATTTTCAAATGATAAGAACTCTGAGCCAATCTGGGGAGATCTGTGGAGTTCATGCAAGGCGGCCCAGGAATTCAGAAGAATTTTTCCACAAAAAATGAGCGGATCTGCCATCATCTAACACAAAAGACTCCAAGCCGTCACAGACAATCAGGCTCATTTCTGTTGCTCTCAATATAATTTGAAAAGAAAGACACAAAAACACATGTCTTTTTGACAATAAATGGCTTCACAAAACCAACTACTAAAAAAATGTTTTTCATTATCATTCAGAAAATATGGTTAAAATCTGGTGTGTGAACTTTCAAACACAAGTATATGAAGACAAACATCTTTGTATCACCGAGCTGACAGCTCATGGACAAGTGGGTCCCATGCCCATATTTGGGCAGGGGCACTGACCGTTGAGCTCTGATCCAGTGAGTGTGGAGCTGTTGTGCTTCTCCAGACAATCAAGGACCTCATCGATCTGCAGCGTCCCAGGGAGAGGAGGACAGCAGCAGTGGACTGATTCACGTCTCTGAGGCCTAATAGAGCTCTGTTTGAGTCTGGCAGCTTCAGTGAGGCGCTTACTGCCTACATTTACAACCTTAAATTACCCTAAGTAAACACACTCTTACATTTACTAAACAAAGCAGTCACTAGAGGAGACAGAACGAGCAGCAGTTCTATTGACACAAAGGCTGAGCAATAAACACCCATTTAATGTTATTAGTTAGTCTTTATAACCAGTCCTAAAACATAGTTATCTTTTGGTTGTAAGTGATTTTTAAATCCAAATAATACAATCAGAGACTTTTTGTCAATCAATAATAATAATATCTATTTAATATGTTCTGAGCTCCATAAGTTCACCATTGTCCTGGTGATCTGTCATCTGTCACACATTAACACAGCAGCATTAACCAAATACTAACTACTTCTGCACAACTGCCTCATTTCTGGTCACCGTTTTGTGAGAACAGAGCTGAACAGAAAGTGCAGAAAAAACTCAAATATTCGTTTTATAACTTGTAAGTAGTGAATGGTCACATTTATGTAGTGCTTTGGGGCACTCAAATCTGTTTACATCTAATGAGCACATGAATGCAGCGGTGTACACAGACACTGGGGGCGAGATCACAACAGCAGGAACCGTAATGAACCAGCAACTTTCAGCTCTGAGGACACACACTCTGAGCTAAAGTGTCTGAGCTTTCCTGTTGGGAAATTTTAGTTAAATTAAATGTATTCTTGAACAGCCCTAAATCACCAAAGTTATTACCTCGGAGGACTCTACAAACTTGTTGATTCACCAACACAGATCAGAGAATCAGACAGTTCAAAAACAGGAAATGCAACAATAAAACACACATAGAGCCTTTGGTCCATAAGGGACAGATGACCAATATCCTAAATGTTGATAAATGTCCATACATGTTGTTTAAAATCCCCTCAAATGTTGTTGAGGAGCATATTTAGGACAATTGAAACCAAAGATTACACTTGAATCAGTATTTGCTCATTTCAGTTAATTTTCTTTTTTTTAATGAATAAAACATATAGTGTCTGAGCATTATAATATGTCATATATTTTCTAATTTTGACTATTCTACATAAAGATTGCCTCTAGGGTTTTCTCGCTGTATAGAACTGTAGCAAAAGAGTCTAACTACTTACTTGCAACATAGACAGGAAAATGTTGACCCTTCAGGCGCCAAAGAAGCAGAATTGCTTGAGCTCGGACACTTTCTATACAGCGAACTGGCTTTCCACAAATGTCTACATAACGTTTTCTTACACACCTTTCTCTTATTTATTTATCTCTACGTTTCAGGGCTCCAACTTGTGTCTGTTTCACATTTTGGTTTTCTGGTACACATTTCCATTTCTGAAATAAAACCACTACCTTGAGGGTGTATTTTCTTTGATTTAGAACCAAAAAAATAGAACTTATTTGTTGTTTGTCGTTCCGGCCAATGTTAAAGAGGCGTACACTTTCTTTTTTCCCACTCCTCTTTGTGAATCTTCAGTCCAGCACTTCAGGCTCAGCGTCCATGCAGGATTCCCAGGGGTTGCGGGGCATGTGTGGCATAGAGATAACCAGCAGGGCGGCACCGCTGAGGATGAGGAGGGTGAAGGCGGCGCAGGCACAGGTGAAGGACCACGAGTAGTAGTATTCGATCCAGATGGTCTCGTCACTGGCAATCATCCTCTTGACAGACTGTCGCATCACCTCCACAGAGATGATGATGCACAGACCTGCGGAGGGAAGACAGCTGTGAGGAGAGAGGCAAAGCTAAACACTGTCCGCTGTGAGGAAGGTGGCGGAACCGTGACTCATACTTTTATAAAACCTCAAACTAAGGTACTTCTGTGGGGGATCAGTGTGCGACCGAGTGACTAAGAACCCGTGGGAGTTGATTGGAGGTTGAATGAAATATTTGAACGGGCCGCAGTATAGTTGGAGTAGATATTGGTCATCTCTGTCCACACACAAGTAATAATGGAACAAAAGCACCAAACACCAAGTTGCAGGCAAGAATGGATTGGGTACACATGGAAACACTGACACACACACAGAAACAAAACAACATCACACACACACACTCACTGCCCTGTTTTCCACACACACACACATAACAGAATAGGGCCTTATTAGAGTGTCAAAATTACCATATTTTACAAATGGATTTGCATTTGTGTCATAAAAGTACTGACAAAGTGGGCTTTGAAAAACACCAGAAACATTAGTCATCACTTTATAGGAAAGGCAAGTTTATTTTGTAGCACAATTTATACAAAACAAATTATTATTGCTGATCTTTTCACTATTAAACTTGCTTATATATGTAATTTGTGAAAGTACAGAGGTTCAGAACTGCAGTTAAAATGTAGCTAAAAAATCAAAATAATTACTTGAGTGGCATGCAGTGTGTTTTGTCTCATACTAAAAAGATTGATGTTGGTTTTTGTAGCTGTAGAAACTGCTGCTGCTGCTTAGAACATTCTACGGAGAGAGTCGACAGAAATTACCTCCTGATCAGGGGTTGATCCTGGGACAAAATCTATGTAGATCTGTGTCTCACAGGCTGCAGGAGACATTTACTGCTTCCAGTAAATAATCTTTATTTATATACCGCCATTCACAAACCAGAGTCACAAAGCGGTTTACAATTGTTATTTTTTGGCATTTTTCCTCTCACTCCACACAGAGATGGGAGCGGGGTCGCCGAACAGGAGACGCATGCCAGACCTATTGTACATATTTTTAGTGGTAGGGGAAACCGGAGTACCCAGAGGAAACCTACGCATACACAGGGAGAACATGCAAACTCCACTCAGAAAGGCCCTGGGCCTACCGGGATTCGAACCCAGGACCTTCTTGCTGGGAGGCGAGAGTGCTATCCACTCAGCCACCGTGCCGCCCGAATCAGTGAATGGAGGCAAAATAAATGTATTCACTTTAACTCAGACAAAACTGATGATCTCCAGAAACAAAGACAGTGTATTCTGCCTAAAACCCTCAAATCAAGTCAGATATCTAGAAGTGATAATAGCCGGTGCTGAATAAAGTTAAACACTCACTCGATTTTAACGCCCTGAGGTGCTGTACAGTACCCTGCTCCTGCCCCATGTCACCTACTGTTTGGGACTATGGGGAAACATACAAACACCATGAGAGAGTGAATGGATGGTGTTGATTGGGGCTTTGAGGCGCAAGTGTGTTCGGCGTTTCGCTTCCGTCATCACTGTGTGTGGAGCGAATGAAACACCATCTGAACTCTGAACATTGTAAAGTGCTTTGGGTGACCTTGGTCTGTAAAAATGCACTATATAAATAAAGTACTTATTGACCCTACATCCTTTTATCCTCTTACAAAAAAGCAGTGAGAATTATTCATAAAGTGAACTCAAGAAAACACACTAATCAGTTATTCAAACAATCAAAATTGTTATATATTGTTATCTTATCAAACTACAGTCCCTCATTGGGACGACTGAAGCCTAAAAATCACTGTACAAAAGCTTAACTCTCTCAAATCCAACCAGGACAGCAGAAGGAAGCTGCACTTCTCTGTCCCTTTTGCCAGAACCTCTTGTAACCACAGGGGAATACCCGTGCGGAAAAGAAACTGTGGAATCAACTCAAATATGAAATAAAAACATCCACATGTTTGAGAAAATCAACAAAGCAACAAGAATGAAATATTAAATTAATTATTGAAAATATGGAGAAAATAAACACACTCATTAAAAAAGAAGAGAAAAGACTGAAGGAGTGCTGCAGCCTATCTTTAATAATATGCATTTTGTACATTGAAGAAAGGAACAGGCAACATAAGATTCTTTCGGCTCCTTTTCATTTGTGTAAGAAAACTACAATTATTTGAAATGTGATCTATTGTCAAGTGCACAAGTAAAGAATCATTGTAGCCACAATGAATTAGTAACATCTGCAGTTTTTTACCAGCTGAAAAACATCGCCAAAATTAGAAATATATATAGTGTATGAAGCAGATACTTATCCATACATTTGTCTACAGTAAGTTAGACTACTGTAACGGCCTGCTCACTGGTCTCTCCAAACAAACAGCTGCAATACGATCACATTGGTCAAGTTCTCAGGTCTCTGGCTCAGAAAATAGACTTTGAAGCAGCTTTGTCTGTCCAGGGCCTCGCAAGACCATCTGTGACATGACAACCAACTCGGATCTGTCTAAGGAGCACGGGGACTGGCCTCCTGCTCGTGCACAGAGTGAGAACTAAACACGGGGTGGCAGCGTTACAGATTTATGCACGTAAAATCTTCCTGAAAATGTGACACAGCCTTCTATACTGATGAAATCCAGGTTTAAACAGTTCTGTCTAGCTATGCATACAAGTGAAGGACTTTATCTTTACTATGTTTAATGCGCTGTGTTGTTTATGATTGTACTGCCTTGAGGCCCCTTGTCATTTCTCCTCCAGCAAATCTTACTGGTCGCAGTTGAGCCCGGGGGAAGGAGTGATTTAAAAGTATATTGTTGTTTGATGAGACCTATACTGTACATAATAGCACAGAGCCTCATAGTCAGAGTATATACATTATTGTAACTGTCTGACATCATCTTTAACACTTTATATTACTGTGAAGTAGAGCTACACTATCACAGCAGCACTCCGATTCTAAAGTGACATAAGCACCTCACCATCTCCAGCCATCACTTTACTTGACTCTGATAATGAGCGGTCCCCTATGGCTCCGTCCATTCTCAGAAATTATACATGTTGCTCTAATTAGGCCTGAACTTATAGGATCTTTTCTCTAATGTTCTGTACTCAAACCTAATCTCCAGGTTTGAGTATAGTCAGTATTGGTATATCGTACTGACTGATAAACAATGTAAAAGAATTGGACACAGACCGACATTGGATAAAAAGTCTGACCTTCATTCAATAACATAAACACTAATTAACTTTACACTGGTATTTAGGGGAACAAAAAACATTTCTGACGTATAACACGTCCATAACTGTATTTTTTCAAGTGCCCTTTCAATCTTTTGATGTGTCTTTGTGCTTGCTTTGTGGATAGGAAATCTGGAATAAAAGCCACACAGCCCACAGAGCAATTCTTGGCAACAAAATTGGTTAGAGTGAAGATAACCACAATTTTCAGTGTGCAAACGCAAGACATGATTGAAACCAATTTATTTGAAAAACAACTGCGCTGTTTGCTAAAAACCAGGGATTCCGCAGGGGCAGAGATGAGGCGTGTAGCAGCAGCCCCCCCTCACATTCCACCTAATGCAATGGATCTTTGTGTTCGCCCTCACAGATAAATGTCTCCAATATAACCGTTATTAATTTTGGCTGGAACACAACCCCTCCCCCCCAATCCCACCCCACCCCCAGGAGAAGACAATGAGAAGACTTCCCCCGGACTGGACCGGCTCTGAGCTGAGGTTAAGTTGTGACGGTAAAGGCCAAATGATGATGCAGAGCAGAGAGCAGTCTCTATAGCAACAGTTTTATTCTGACTGGACCCAACTTGAATGGAATGAATTAGTGCTTATGTAAAGTTTACTCAGAGCTGTGTGCAGAAGTCACATGAATATGTACCTAGAGGTAAGGAATGAGAAATTAGGGCTGTTGCTATAGTGATTAATCATAGTGGTTCATTTTGTTGGTTTTGGGGAGGTGAGACAAAGAAAGGGCATGGATAGATTGTCCCATATATTCATTTGCATTGTCAATTGTAGTTTTTAACATACAATCTCATATACATGTACATACATAGTCAATAATACTGTACTGTATATAATAACCTAAAAAGGAGTGGGAGGAAGAATAACTCTGTAACTTTGTATTTGACATTGTGAGTAATTCAATGACATTGTTTAACATCACCTTGTCCTGCCAGGTGATGTTGGGATTTTGTGATCTATAAAATATTAAACATTGATCCATTGACAAACATAGATTCCCAGACATATTCATCTGATTCATACATGTATATTTATCAATGACTACAGTGAGGCCGCAGTATGTGGCTGTATCATTCTTATTTACACATGTTGAGGCTCGTACTCCCTCTAGAGTTCAAAGTAGGTATGTTTCTAGATTAGATGTATTAGAAAGCATAGAATTTATTTTTTGGATCGCATTATTCGTCTCTTCATACGTGGTGGTAAACCAAAATACAATTAAGCTGCCACACTGCGCAGCTTAATTGTAGGAGAGGGGTTGGACGCTCCACTTTTCTGGTGTTTCCCGCGGGGAGAGGCGGCGAGCTGGGGTGGCCATACTCATTGCCCCCCATCTCAGCCGCCACGTGTTGGAGTTCTCCCCGGTGAATGAGAGGGTCGCGTCCCTCCGCCTCCGGGTGGGGGACAAGTCTCTCACTGTTGTGACGGCCTACGGGCCTAACGGTAGTGCAGAGTACCCGGCCTTCTTGGAGTCCTTGGGAGGGGTACTGGACAGTGCACCGCCCGGGGACTCCGTTATTCTCCTGGGGGACTTCAACGCCCATGTGGGAAATGCCAGTGACACTTGGAGAGGGGTGATCGGGAAGAGCGGCCCCCCTGATCTGAACCCGAGCGGTGTTCAGTTGTTGGACTTCTGTGCCAGTCACGGCCTGTCCATCACGAACACCATGTTCGAGCACAAGGGTGTCCATCAGTGCACGTGGCACCAGGACACCCTAGGCCGGAGGTCGATGATCGACTTTGTAGTCGTATCATCTGACCTTCGACCGCGTGTCTCGGACACTCGGGTGAAGAGAGGGGCGGAGCTGTCAACCGATCATCACCTGGTCGTGAGTTGGATCCGCTGGCAGGGCAGGAGGCCGGTCAGACCTGGCAGGCCCAAGCGTGTAGTGAGGGTTTGCTGGGAACGTCTTGCTGAGCCCCCTGTCAGACGGACTTTCAACTCACACCTCCGGGAGAGCTTCTCCCAGGTCCCGGCAAAGGAGGGGGACATCGAGTCCGAGTGGACCATGTTCTCTTCCTCTATCGCCAATGCGGCGGCTCGTAGCTGTGGTCGCAAGGTCTCTGGTGCTGGTCCCGGCGGCAATCTGTTACGAGTCGGACAAAGAACCCAAGTGCAGAGGTAACAAAAAATTTAATTAACAAAAATAGATAGACTCAAAACACAGGAGAGCCGGGAATGGGGCTGGGACCAGGCGGTGCAGGGCTGGGTGCAGAGCTGGGGTCAGGCGGTGCTGGGCTGGGGTCAGGCGGTGCGGAACGGAGGTCTGAGGCAGAGCAAAACAAAGGTGAGACAAAACAGGAACGAGAGCGATAACAAGCAGGCCTACTAACGTACAGTAACACTGATTACGAACTGGCACCGATGAGCTGGCCTCTGGAGCTCTTGTAGCAGCTTGATTGGAGCCAGGAGGCAGCTGGGCCTGATCAGCCTCTCCCATCCACCTGCTCTGGGAGGCGGCTCCAGGAGAAGCAGGGGAGGGAGGGGCTGCTGGAGGAGCAGCCCTGACAGTACCCCTCCCCCTACCGACGCCCCCAGGCGGACACACACGCCTCCCCGATCGACGAGCGTAGAAGTCCCGTATGAGGGACGGGTCCAGGATGTTGCCACGGGAGACCCACCATCGCTCCTCGGGGCCGTAACCTTCCCAGTCCACCAGGAACTGGCAGCCACGACCACGCTGGCGCACATCCACGATCCGCCGAACAGTAAAGGCAGGATGGCCGTCCACCAACCTAGGCGGGGGCGGGGCTGGACGGGGGGGAACCAAAGGACTAGACTGGACCGGCTTAACACGGGACACATGAAACGTGGGGTGAATCTTCAAGGAAGAGGGAAGCTTAAGACGTACCGCGGAGGGGTTGACGACCCGCTCCACCTCAAAGGGCCCGATAAAGCGGGGCGACAGCTTCGCAGATTCCACCTTGAGGGGAATGTCTCTCGTGGACAGCCACACCTTCTGTCCAGGCAAATAGGCAGGAGCCGGGATGCGGCGGCGATTAGCCTGTACTTGCGTCCGAGCAGAGGCGCGCAGCAGGGCAGAGCGGGCCTTCTTCCAAGTCCTTTGACATCTGCGAAGGTTATCTTGGACCGAGGGGACTGCCAACTCAGCCTCCTGGTCGGGAAACAGGGGCGGTTGATAGCCATAACAACATTCAAAAGGGGACATACCTAAAGATGCGCTCGGGAGTGTGTTATGGGCATATTCCACCCAGGGGAGGTGGGAACTCCAGCTGGACGGATTAGAGGAGGACACACAACGTAGGGCCACCTCCATCTGCTGGTTAGCCCGCTCCGTCTGGCCATTGGTCTGGGGGTGATAGCCAGAGGAAAGGCTCACGTTAATATTCAGGGCAGAACAGAAGGCCTTCCAAACCTGAGCCGTGAACTGGGGGCCTCTGTCAGACACGATGTCGGCAGGAATGCCATGCAGCCGGAAGACGTGGTTCACCAACAGGTCTGCAGTCTCCTTAGCAGAAGGAAGTTTAGGAAGGGGCACAAAGTGAGCAGCCTTTGAGAACCGGTCCACAACTGTCAGCACCACGGAATTACCATTAGAAGGCGGGAGGCCGGTAACAAAATCCAGCGCTATGTGAGACCAAGGGCGATTGGGGATGGGTAGAGGACGCAGCAACCCAGATGGGGGCTTGTTGGAACATTTATTCCGGGAGCACACGTTGCATGCAGCAATGAAGTCCCTAGTATCCCTCTCCATAGTAGGCCACCAGAACTTGCGCCTGAGCACCGCGAGGGTACGACTAACCCCAGGGTGGTATGTAAGTTGGGTGCAGTGTGCCCATTGAATAACTTCTGAACGAACGGGGTCAGGAACAAACAAGGAACTCGGGGGTCCCGTCCCCGGATCCGGGTGGGTCAGTTGCGCCTGACGCACTCGTGACTCTATCTCCCATGTAACTGTAGCCACTATACGGGACAAAGGCAGAATAGTGTCCTTCTCAGGAGCAGGATGTGCACCGCAATAAACTCTGGACAAGGCATCTGGCTTCAAATTCTTGGAGCCAGGGCGATAAGTGACAGAGAAGTTGAAACGGTCAAAAAAAAGGGCCCACCTGGCTTGCCTTGAGTTGAGACGCTTGGCTGTCTGGATATACGTGAGGTTCTTGTGATCCGACCAGACCACAAAGGGATGAGTAGCCCCCTCCAGCCAGTGACGCCACTCCTCTAGGGCCAGCTTGATTGCCAGGAGCTCTCTGTTCCCGATGTCGTAGTTTCTCTCTGCAGAAGACAGTTTACGAGAGAAAAAAGCACATGGATGCAATTTCTGATCAGTGGGTGACCTTTGCGAGAGTATAGAGTATAAGATGTCGTCAATGTAAACAAAAACATTGAAGGGAGGGGAGGGAGGGGCTGCTGGAGGAGCAGCCCTGACACAATCCCCGAACCCGGTGGTGGACACCGGCAGTAAGGGATGCCGTCAGGCTGAAGAAGGAGTCCTATCGAGCAATGATGGTTCGTGGGACTCCTGAGGCAGCTGTCCAGTACCGGCAGGCCAAACGTGCCGCGGCCCGGGCTGTTGCAGAGGCAAAAACCCGGGACTGGGAGGAGTTCGGAGAGTCCATGGAGCATGACTATCGGTTGGCCTCGAAGAGGTTCTGGCAAACCGTCCGGCGCCTCAGGAGGGGGAAGCAGTTCTTTGCCAACACCGTGTATGGTGCGGGTGGAGGGCTGCTGACCTCGACTGGGGATATTGTCGGGCGGTGGAAGGAATACTTCGAGGTTCTCCTCAATCCCCCCGTCACGTCCCCCGTCCAGGAGGCAGAGGCTGAGGATGTTGGGGCGGATACTTCCATCTCCCTGGCCGAGGTCACCAAGGTGGTTGGCAGCCTCCATGGTGGCAAGGCGCCGGGAGTGGATGAGATCCGTCCTGACTATCTAAAGTCTCTGGATGTTGTAGGACTGTCTTGGCTGACACGTCTCTGCAACATCGCGTGGCGATCGGGGGCGGTGCCAATGGAGTGGCAGACCGGGGTGGTGGTCCCTCTCTACAAGAAGGGGGACCGGAGGGTGTGTTCCAATTATCGTGGGATCACACTCCTCAGCCTCCCCGGTAAGGTCTACTCCAAGGTACTGGAGAGGAGGCTACGTCCGATGGTTGAATCTCGGATTCAGGAGGAGCAGTGTGGTTTTCGTCCCGGTCGCGGAACACTGGACCAGCTCTATACTCTCCATCGGATACTCGAGGGTTCATGGGAGTTCGCCCAACCTGTCCACATGTGCTTTGTGGATTTGGAGAAGGCGTTCGACCGTGTTCCCCGGGGTGTCCTTTGGGGGGTCCTCCGGGAGTACGGGGTCCGGGGTCCTCTGCTGAGGGCTGTTCGGTCCCTGTATGACCGGAGCCAGAGCTGTGTTCGCATTGCCGGCAGTAAGTCAGACCTGTTCCCGGTGCATGTTGGCCTCCGCCAAGGCTGCCCTTTGTCACCGGTTCTGTTCACTGTATTTATGGACAGAATCTCTAGGCGCAGCCAGGGGCCGGAGGGGGTCCGGTTCGGGAACCACAGGATTTCATCTCTACTTTTTGCGGATGATGTCGTCCTGCTGGCTCCAACGAACCAGGACCTGCAACATGCACTGGGACGGTTTGCAGCCGAGTGTGAAGCGGCTGGGATGAGAATCAGCACCTCCAAATCCGAGGCCATGGTGCTCGACCGGAAAAAGGTGCCTTGCCCCTCTCCAGGTGGGTGGAGAGGTCCTTCCTCAAGTGGAGGAGTTCAAGTATCTCGGGGTCTTGTTCACGAGTGAGGGGAGGATGGAGCGTGAGATTGACAGGCGGATCGGTGCAGCGTGCGCAGTGATGCGGTCTCTGTATTGGACCGTTGTGGTAAAGAGGGAGCTGAGCCGAAAGGCAAAGCTCTCAATTTACCGGTCAATCTTCGTTCCCTCCCTCACCTATGGTCATGAGCTGTGGGTAATGACCGAAAGAACGAGATCGCGGATACAAGCGGTCGAAATGAGCTTCCTCCGCAGAGTGGCTGGGCGCTCCCTTAGAGATAGGGTGAGGAGCTCGGTCACACGGGAGGAGCTCGGAGTAGAGCCGCTGCTTCTACACGTCGAGAGGAACCAGTTGAGGTGGCTCGGGCATCTGTTCAGGATGCCTCCTGGACGCCTTCCTGGGGAGGTGTTCCGGGCACGTCCCACCGGGAGGAGGCCCCGGGGAAGACCCAGGACACGCTGGAGAGACTATGTCTCTCAGCTGGCCTGGGAACGCCTAGGGGTCCCCCCGGACGAGCTGGAGGTGGTGTGTGTGGATAGGGAAGTCTGGGCGTCTCTGCTTAGACTGCTGCCCCCGCGACCCGGCAACGGATAAAGCGGAAGAAAATGGATCGATGGATGGATGCCACTCTGCGCCATCTCACTATGAAACGTATCATTAAGTCAATTGATCTAATGGATAAAAATATGTTTTATTTGATTATTGGTATCATTTTGTAACCAGTATCTTAATTAATAGAACTTTTTTGATGTGTGCATAACTTGAGGTCTCTTATTTCTAATATCCTACAGTAATGTTTGCAGCACTGAAATTCCCCCAGGAAAGGAACGATTAAAGATGATCTTGTCCCATCTTCTTATCTAATCTTATCTTATAGCGTGCGTGGTATACATGGTGTGTAATGTATTTGAAAAGGGAAAAATAGATATGACATAATCACTAAAGAAATCCAATTTGGGCTGCATCTGAATACTGTATGACTTGGTTGACACCTAGTGTCTCAAAATTGTATTGCAGAATAGTAACGATAACAGATTGCAATGTTTGTGAACTTTGCTTCGTATCCTTATGGAAGAAATTAAAACTACATTAATGCATACTGCAAAACTCAGAGGTTTTGCAGTATGTAGACAAGTGGGGCAAATAGACACAATGCACACAATGAACAGAATATGAATTTTTTGATGAAATGCTTAGTCCAATCAAAGAACGTGGAAACTATGTATTTATCAAAGTTCATTATAGAAACCTGATAATCAAAAGGTGATATGGCCAAAGTATTAAAACGGATCTTTTAAAGCCTTATTATTCGTAGGTCTATTGTTCTGCATTGATCGTATTGCTATGAAGCTGTCAGGAAATAACAACAGAGCGCAAAAGACAATAAAAGTCTCCCTTTGTTCGAGTCGGAAGTGTTTTATTTTGTGCGTGTTCTCTGATGGACACGCGCTGGATCACTGCCGTGACTTGACGCTACTGCGCATCCCTCTGTGCGCATCCCTGTGCGGGCTTTTGGAGGCGACACTGGAGCAGGACCAGAGTCTACTGTGGTCTACGGGCAGCACACGCAGGGTTACTTCAGGTGATGTAGCTACTTCTCACGCTGCTCTCTGATATCAAGTGTTTTCAGCCAGGACCACGGGCTGACTCTTTCATCTGTGTCTGCAAACAGGATACGTGCGTAAAGACACGTTCCCTCCTCAGGACTTTATCTCCTTTCTTACAACTTCTTTGACTTCATCTGTTTGTTATCTCTGTGAGAAGATGTGTGCAAGGAAGACAAAAAACACTGAATTCGGAGCAGAAGCGTGGCACTTGGAGTAGTACCCTAAACCCAACTGAAAGCATTACGCGCCAATGCAGAGGAAAGTGGAAGTCAATCTGGGGAATTAGCGAAGCTCTGTTTGTGCAAGACTCAACAAATGACTCATTCGGTGTGTTTTTCCTGAACACTGAGGTCCGACAGGTCATTCACATCCCCCTGCTCCTCTACGACAAACACAATGTTGATGAAGGAGTACCGCATCTGCATGCCCCTCTCAGTGGAGGAGGTAAGTGAAGTTTGTAGTATTAATGCTGCTCCTCTGATGTTCTTCGACTGCGTTCCTTTGTATTATACTATGATAATGTTTTATACTGCACACGCATGAGGTTTGCTTCGTCTGTCATTGTGCCATTTCAGGAACGCGTTGAGGTCTATGCGCTTTGTTTTACGCACAACTAACACCAGGTGGCGCCACTCAAGGCCTCATGATGCTTTGTTATGCTTTTTGCAGTATAAAGTCATGTTAGAGAAAGTCCTCAAAAACAAGTGCAAGTCAGAGGAATGAGAATATGAATAAATGATTGATTGATGCTCGATTAGATACTTTCCATTTCTACATGTGGTTGTAAGTCTAAATCCCATCACTTATCTTATTTGTTCTTTGTTATTATTTTTCGGGCAATATCAGTTTTGGTTCTTATACATTCGAAATTGCCTTTCTCTACTGCAGAAAAAAATCCATTCTTGTGTTGCCTCAACCACAACAAATGTCCCTTCTGCACTCCTTAATGCAGTTTCACAACCATAAAGCTTTTTACACACCATTTAGCACAGTTTATGAGGACTGGTTACCAAGGTGCTTCTGAAATGTTGGTGCTCTATAGTAGCACAAACTTCTGTACACATACATCAGGTTCTGTAGTGGTCAGTGTAATTTAGAATTAAATATATACGATACTGTGTGGCTGTGACACATTGGTCTGGTTAAAACTTTACATTGTCTATAAATAATTCAAATAATCTGTTTTGACTCTCTATCATGTTGCTTCTTTTCCTATTTGTCAACCAGTTTGATACAAGCATAAGTTTAGAGCTGTGTGTGTGTGTGTGTGTGTGTGTGTGTGCTTGCGTGCGTGTGCGTGTGTGCGTGCGTGCGCGTGCGTGCGTGCGTGCGTGCGTGCGTGCGCGTGCGTGCGTGTGCTGCTGTCATCCAGTATTTTACATTGATCAAAGCGACAGACAATTTGAGCGGAGTCTATTGATTTCTTCCACTGTAATGCCTTTAGTGAGCCTGTGTGCTTTGATTGAGTGAGTTCTTGTGGTTTGGAACATCTGTCCAGAAGAATGACTTCTCTAAGCTGTAGATGAAGTGTGTAGTCACTTTCTTACCTAAGTACCTTTGCTGTTCTTTAATAAGAGAAGGAAATACAATAACATAAACAGCTTGTGCTGCAGAGGCCTGTTGCCAGGAGCTGGTTTGGTTTTGGTTTGAGACCTGGTTCAGACCACAGGACCAGGGTTAGACCTGGTTCAGACCACAGGACCAGGGTTAGACCTGGTTCAGACCACAGGACCAGGGTTAGACCTGGTTCAGACCACAGGACCAGGGTTAGACCTGGTTCAGACCACAAGACCAGGGTTAGACCTGGTTCAGACCACAAGACCAGGGTTAGTCCTGGTTCAGACCACAAGACCAGGGTTAGACCTGGTTCAGACCACAAGACCAGAATTAGTCCTGGTTCAGACCACAGGACCAGGGTTAGACCTGGTTCAGACCACAGGACCAAGGTTAGACCTGGTTCAGACCACAGGACCAGGGTTAGACCTGGTTCAGACCACAAGACCAGGGTTAGACCTCGTTCAGACCACAAGACCAGGGTTAGTCCTGTTTCACACCACAAGACCAGGGTTAGACCTGGCTCAGACCACAAGACCAGGGTAAGACCTGGTTCAGACCACAAGACCAGGGTAAGACCTGATTCAGACCACAGGACCAGGCTTAGGACTGGTTGAAAAAGTAAAAAACCACCAACGTGGACCAATCCGCTGAGAGCTCACTGACATGTGAAAACTTTGCCCAAACCACTTAAAATAAAACACTTTACTTCTCCTTAAACTTTTCTTTTCATTTTATTATTATTATTATTTATTTAATACTTAATAAAAACTTAACTCTAAATATTCAATTCTAGCACTAAGCATCTGAGGCCTATATTTTCCATTCAAATCCTGCTTATTCTAATGACATTCTCAAATCACAGCTGTTCATTTTTTATTGCCCAAAATCAAAACGATGGAACAGAAAATGTGGATTTACCAGAAGAGAAAATCAACACACCTTGTACATACAAAAAAAAAAACCTTGTTCTACAAAAAAACACATAATTTGTTCTTTTTTTACAAAAAATAATGAGCATGAGGCCCACAGTGTTGATCCTAACTCATGGAGTTTTAATCAGAAATGGATCAACTCAGTTTGTTAAGATGGTGAACTCTTCAGCCTCAGTGCTTTGAAGAAAACCACTTGTGGACATGATACAAACAGACACGTGACGTCATTGGCATCATCTTCAGACGCACTTGTGTTGAAGGAGAGGAAGCTGTTCTTGAGACATGTCCTTTAGTGACACAAAGGGGCAAAGTTAGATCATAAATATTTGTTGTATATGATGAACGTTCAATTTCTTCTTTGATTCAACTTAAAATGTGAAACCAATGTATGTAATAGACTCATTATGTGCAAAGCAAATTAATGGATGGTGTTGACCAGAGACCCTCTGGAGACACTCTGGTAAACACCATCAAATAGAGTTGAATAATAATAATGCTAATCATAATTTGTATTAACGTTTCTGCCTTGCTCTATTCATTCAGTCCATACACTGTGGCGATAAACTTCTTCTGTAGCCACAGCTGCACTGGGGCAGACTGACAGAAGCGAGGTAAACAGTATGGGCCACCAATCCTTCATGCACAGACCAGACTCTCACTTTAGTCTTCCCTTGTCTCACACACACACCCCCTGAGCTCATGCTGCCTCAACCCATGGTTTAAAACTGTCCCACAGGCTTCATCTGTTTGTGTTGCTGTGAGCACAGCTCCACATCGCCAGCACAGTGAGTGTTGTGTTGCTGTAGCTGCCAGCTCTGATCTCCCAGGATGGAGCCCAAAACCTCAAATGAAGAGTCAACTGCTTACATTAGGACATGTCTCTGAGAAACAGGATAATTTCAAGAATATCAGACACTAATGGAAGCCTAAGTAAACAACACGACCTGCTCCAGATGGCAGTAGGCCGAGCGCCTCAGACACATATGAGTGAGAGTTCTGATGACTGAATGCCACGCAGATCAATAAAAGGCACCACCAAGTCTATTCTACTACCAACAAGTCTATTCTACTACTTAACGCTCATGAAAACACAGTTTTTATGATAATAAATATTGTAGAGATGCCGACAACCAGGTTTTAATAGCACAGTGGATTGTGGCCCAGAATACAGTGCCTTGCGAAAGTATTCGGCCCCCTTGAACCTTTCAACATTTTGCCACATTTCAGGCTTCAAACATAAAGATATAAAATTTAATTTTTTTGTCATGAATCAACAACAAGTGGGACACAATCGTGAAGTGGAACGAAATTTATTGGATAATTTAAACTTTTTTAACAAATAAAAAACTGAAAAGTGGGGCGTGCAATATCATTCGGCCCCTTTACTTTCAGTGCAGCAAACTCACTCCAGAAGTTCATTGAGGATCTTTGAATGATCCAATGTTGTCCTAAATGACTGATGATGATAAATAGAATGCACCTGTGTGTAATCAAGTCTCCGTATAAATGCACCTGCTCTTTGATAGTCTCAGGGTTCTGTTTAAAGCGCAGAGAGAACCATGAAGACAAAGGAACACACCAGGCAGGTCCTAGATACTGTTGTGGAGAAGTTTAAAGCCGGATTTGGATACAAAAAGATTTCCCAAGCTTTAAACATCTCAAGGAGCACTGTGCAAGCAATTGTATGGAAATGGAAGGAGTATCAGACCACTGCAAATCTACCAAGACCCGGCCATCCCCCCAAACTTTCATCTCAAACAAGGAGAAGACTGATCAGAGATGCAGCCAAGAGGCCCATGATCACTCTGGATGAACTGCAGATAACTACAGCTGAGGTGGGAGAGTCTGTCCATAGGACAACAATCAGTCGTGCACTGCACAAATCTGGCCTTTATGGAAGAGTGGCCATTTCTCAAAGATATCCATAAAAAGTTTCTTAAAGTTTGCCACAAGCCACCTGGGAGACACACCAAACATGTGGAAGAAGGTGCTCTGGTCAGATGAAACCAAAATCAAACTTTTAGGCCACAATGCAAAACGATATGTTTGGCGTAAAAGCAACACAGCTCATCACCCTGAACACACCATCCCCACCTCAGCTGTAGTTATCTGCAGTTCATCCAGAGTGATTTTTTAGTGACCTAAAAAGATGACAGATGCCTGAAATTTCCATCATAGGTATGAGAGACACATTTTTAAACAATTAATTTGCAAATTATGGCGGAAATGAAATATTTAGTCAATAATAATAATGCATCAGTTTTATATAGCGCTTTTTTGGACACATTATTCTTTCACTCCATACACAGTGGTGATAAACTACTACTGTAGCCATAGTTGCCCAGGGGCACACTGACAGAAGCGAGGCAACCGACCACCACCAACCATTCACACACACATACCAGATTCATGCTAGTCAATGGCCATTGGACACAACGGCAGTTTGGCACTTTACAGCCGCAGCCGCCCCACTGTGGCTGGTGTTCCCAGAGGTTAAGTGCCAAGGACACAATGACAGCAGACAGTGGGAGTCGATGGTGAGAGTTGGACTCGAACCCACGACTCTCTGGCTCAAAGGCCAATGCTCTACCAACTGAGCTACTGTTGCCCTAACAAAAGTCCATCTCAATACTTTGTTATACAGTATAGCCTCATGAGTCATCATTTTGGCCCATTCCTCCATCCTCTTCAAGCGCAGTGTTGCTTTGGAGCTGACACTGGGGAACACAAAGTATGTAAGATGAGGATCTTTTGGCCTCAGTAAATCTCATAAGGATTTGTTTTAGTCCAGTGTCGTTCATATAGGTTCTTAACTGCATTTTAATTCTAAGAGTGCCCTCTTTGCCGGATGTTTGAAGATCATCCACTGGCAGCCCTTGTGGCTCAGAGGGCACCAGCGGGGGTCTGGCTGTGTAGATAATTGAAAGCCCAGTGTCTGCTTTTCAACTCTTTTAG